CTACGGTATCTTTCTAGAGCAACATATTTTATTTTGGTCTGTATGAAAGTGTTATTAATTTCGTTATTTGTCTGTCTATCTTTAATTTCAATACAGGCATCGGAATAATAGGAAGGAGTTCGAAATTGTTTGGCCACGTGCAGTGCCAACTTCGTACCGAATAGAATCCATTGAATAGGGTTCGCTTTTGAAATATCTTTTACAACTTTAGATATGCTATTTGGTAGTCTTCATAATGCTTAGGTAACGTTAGTCAGTTAAATTTATAACTATTGTTTAGTCGGATTATTTTTTTTTAATTTTAATATTTTTGTTTTAGTTAATATTCGCTTAACGTGGTGATTACATACTTCCTTACTATGCAGACAGTTACTAAAGTTCAAAGTACCTATTACAGGTACGACTTAAAGATCCATAATAGTGACCCGTTTAGCATTTGCAGGTTGTCTCGATCTTATAATATTTGAAATGAATATTGTAAATAATAAACCGACTCATTCTTCTCAGGCGAATGTGCCTCACGAGTGACTAGTAGAGTTTGAACAGAATCAATGGACGATTTCAATTGTAATTTGTTCGCATAATGAAATGATGGCATTTTATTTGAATTAGAATTAGAGGCCGTCCACTCCCACCCGTTTATTTTAGGTATTTTGACTCCTGTTTTTAAAGGAATTTTTGGGTTCATTTTCATTTAAAAAAATTTACACGAATTATAATAACTAAAGCTTGTTAACGGGAACGCTAACTAGGTAATCGCTAATACAAGAATAATTTAACCTGCAATCAATTGCAATCCATCTATTTTATTTTTTTCAAATACGGCAATTACTAAGCAACTGACTAATTTTATCATTTTATGTATAGTTGGTATATTTCGTTGTACGTGCGCGTTCTTCGATTTCTTGATTATTCATGAGGTCTCTGGTCACGGGTATGGTTGCCCCTCAAGTCCTTTGAACAAGAAGTTAAATTTGTAACGGAGACCCAACGGGCGTTAGTGCAAGATCATAGAAAGGTTTATGGATAATTTCATTGCAAGCATTTCGCTATAACAAAAAATCAGCATTTGAAGTAAAATCTCTTTGTTTTTGTATTGTTATTTTAAATTTGTAATATGGTTAATATTTTAATTGGCTTAAAAATATGATAAACGTCCTCTAGCGTTACGTAGAATTAACAGGCTTTAAATTTAACACCATCTAGTACCAAATAGTATAACTAATAACAGCAGCGCCATCTACCGTGGAGTAGAGGTATCGTTACAAACTCTTCCCAATTGACTGGTTACATTATTACGTATTTTTACATCCGGAGCTTAGGTGGCGCAGTAATAAATAAATTCATCTTAAGACGAAAAGACGATAATAGGTAGTGCTATAGATAAGTTTTTGCTAACTAACGCGTAATGCTAACGCGCTGTTATCTTTATCTGTTTTGTAAACAACTGTCAATCATGATCGTCTCTGCGTGTCGTTGACCTTATCACTCTCTGGTAGCTTCGATGATGGATATGTTGAATTTTTTCCTTTAAAGTAAGAAAAAACATGAATAAGGAATCGAAAACTAAAATTAAAGGGGTTTTGAGGGCGCCTATATTAAGGCACATTAGTGTCGTACTCTTTCTACATAGAGTTATATATGTAAACATAACTATATCTATAACCTCGTAGCTATCCTAAAGAACTACCTCAGTGGCCTAACGGTTTGCAATTGGACTCTGGACGAGGAGGTGCCACATTTGATTCCCGTAAGAACCGATTTATGAAATAAACTTTTTAAATTGATTCCGGTTGATTGCTTTGGATAGTGCCCTGCTTTTAAATCCTTGGCTCTGGTACTCATGGTACAGGGAATTCCCTAATTTGAAGCCAGGTAATTCAAAGTTAACTCATATCGTATATTCCACTAGTGGGGCACGGATCTTTTGTGTTTATGTTTATTTTTGAAAGTACCTTTCATTGATAAAACATTTTTTTTTTCTATTGGTGGAGAAAATTTGATGGAAAATAACTAAGACGAAAATAGCCTTGAGTTATTTTCTTTATCATGCTGATTATTTACATCGTAATGTTATGATGAATAATGATGGATATCACGACATCCATCATTTATTTATTGATTTGTGACGTTTGTTCACTTATTCTGGAACTTTAATACTTTACTAAGTAGGTAAATTTAACCTCTACGTACAGGTAGGTTTTTTCTAAATTTTCAGACTTCAAGGTAAACTGTTTTGATGAACCAAGGAAGAATAAATAAGTCGTCGAGTGCATTTCTGTAGCAGTAGAGCTCCTTGTGAAAGAGTTCGTCCAGGGAAGTACTGCCACCTTACCTATTTCTGTCAACAGTAATTTGAACATTACGGTTCAGAAGAGCAACGGTGCTTGTGAAATTACAGGCACATGGGACTTGTTAACTTGCGTCTCAAGGCGACGGGCGCAGCGCAGTGCCCTTCAGAACTTAGCGATTTAAAGCTCTGAGTGGCACTGTAATTGCTATGGACAGGGGTGTCGCTGACCACCAGGGACACGTTTTGTTCGTTCCGTAACATAATATCATAAAAAAGTACATACTAAATTACGTACATAGAAAATATTGTAATAGAGTTACATCAAAATTTTACTTTACCTTAGAACTTTTTACCATGTACATATGAGATAAATTTGACAAATACTACATTATATATTGCTTCATGTATTTGCTGCTCGTTACAATATACTAAATAGGTTGTTTGTCGCGACGAGGACGAACGATGTCCGCGGGTGACAAATGTGGCATCACGAACCGCGTGGACTGTCGCCCTATCCTTGGAACTATTAAGTGTCACCAAAGAAATACACTCTATTATATTATGATGAAACTGTCAGTGAAACTGTTGCGTAATTCTAGATTTATTCTTAGGGTCGCATTCCAGAACTCTACTCAATGCTCAAGTCAGGATTTAAGCAGACTTGAGTATGATTTCAAGCACTGGAAATACGACCTTAATGGCAAGGACTTGAGTATGATTTTCAGTGCTCACTGCAATACTCAAGTCCTGATTTGAGTATTGAGTAGAGGTTTAGAATGCGACTCTCAGGGTCGTATTCCAGAACTCTACTCAATGCTCAAGTCAGGATTTGAGTATGATTTAAAGCACTAGAAATCATACTCAAGTCCCTGCCATTAGAGTCGTATTTCCAGTGCTTGTGGTGCAATCCTGACTTGAGCATTGAATAGCGTTCTAGAATACGACCCTAAGTATCGAGTTCTTAGGTTTTCGCGATTGTTACACATAGGAAATGAAACTATTTTTCCGGATTTAAATCGCGTATATTTGTTTTTTCAAACAAACCTCTTCTCTTCTCTTCTCTTTCAAATAATGCTTTTAGGGTCATCGATAGTCTTTCTAGCAAGTATTAAAGGTGTGATGCCTTGTACGGTCTCTGTACAAGTTCTACTGTGCGAGACCCTTGTGAGACCGTACAAGTGGTCCTTCGAGTCCTGACTCCTTCTGACTATAATTTATTCACCGGATAGTACAGGCCTTATAAAAAATACTATATCGACTTTAGTGTCTATTCCTGCATTCGCCCCAATGTTCGACTTGGTAGAAAACAAGAAGTGTTAAATACCATCAAGAGAAAGAAACTATTTCAATTAATAATCCAAAGTAAAATACAAGGAAAGAGAGGTGTAGGAAGAAGGAGAATATCCTGGCTCTGAAATTTGCACCAGTTTGGTTCTATATGAGCACCCGATCATTATTCAGAGCCGCAATGTCAAGTTCAGATTGCATTATGATCGCCGACCTTCATTAGAAGATGGCATATGAAGAAGAAGAAATTGGGCTTGGGGCTCCTTTTCTCTTCTGCAGAAGCCTTGTTTAAGTAACAATTTGATGTTAATCTGCTTCGTATTACGCCACTTCCTTCTATTAGATCGAAACGATAATCAGAACATTCTACAGAATTTTCCAACCACGGTCTTTTTATTTTTTATCTTCTGATATTTCAGAGCAGTTGCACTTCCATGGTCTAAGGTGGACTGGCAAGCTTCATTTGACACATTGGGGCCGTCGTACAGTCCGCGGTAGACGTATCCTCTGCTTACCGTAGTAAGTAACCTAAAAAACCTTGAGTCTAAAAATTTAAACATCAACGTGCAGTAGGTAGGTACGTGCTTACGGTTCTCTCTAAGCTGTCGTTCAACATCATTTGGGTCTGTTAGAGGAGCAAATAACTACATTACCCGTGCGAAAATCACGGAGATCATAAAAAGTGACAGGTTTTGCTATTTTACGTTTACCATCAGTTGCTATAATTAATTAGACAATTCTCAGTACTTAAGTATCAAAATAACTGGAAAGTCATGCCATGAAAAATATAACACTCATTTCACGGTTCTTGTATCTTATTATATTTAATTTTTAAAAATAAAAAAGGAAGATTTCATACTTATCATCATCAATCCATTTATACGTCCCACTGTTGGACACGACTCCCCTCTCAGACGAGGGTTTTAGCGTTGGGGATTTCACCGATTTTTCGAGGGTCCTGAACCTTCTTTGACGTGCAGGTTTCATCACGACGTTTTCCTTCACCGAAAAAACCCAGATTCGAACGTACAGCTTCTGCTGGAGAGGTGTCGGTTCCGCAAAATTAGATTCCCAATAGCACCATGGTATAATGGTTGCACTGGTAGCGAAGAGATGTCACACCACACATAAACATTCATATAAATATCTCTATATATATAACTCTGTTTCCCCTTCTGTATATATGTTTTGAGTCTCTAGGATCTTGAGCCGAGTTCTGTGCCCACTTGGCTTCTTCTTCGGAGCCTTCCGGAGCCTTTAGCACACCCATTTCTCTGGTGGCGCTACTGACATTGATTCCAAAACAGATTGTCAATTGCTATCAAACGCCATCGCGTGACGAGCGCGTCGTCATCTCGTTTATCATATTAGTCTGCCGTTTGTTTGCGCGTACGCAAAACGGAGTCACTCTCAGCAGTTACGTAGTGCGGTGAGCATTGGTCTACGCGCAGTTTCGTATTTTTGTGTTACAGTGATAATTTACCAAAATAACAAAAGGTAATCTATTAATTTGGTTTATTCAAGTTTTGTTTTTGGCAACAGTGTTAAAAGGCGGATTTGGAAGATTAGAATTATTATGTTTTTTTTTAACCGCAATCTTTATAAAATAAATAACGTAGAGCCATGGTTAATTTTACTGTTTCATATGCTTTCAATATAGATAAAGGAACTTCTTAAATTTTGTTCAATAGTTACTACAATTGTATAAAAAACTTTACAGTTAAATGCAACTTACACGTATCAATATTATTATGTATTAGACGTTAATGAAATTTGTACAAACGTAGATCTCAGATCCTATGAATCGCCCCAAGAGAGGACAAGTTCATTATTAGAGAGATGGTATAGCCCAAACATAAAATAGACCACCATATATATTAAACACCGGCCGGCATCGCCGCAGTTCGTGTCACATGATTGTCGTTCCGTAGCACGCCTGCAGGGGGCGCCATTCACCGTTTGTTAGGTAACGTTTTTATACTTTATGTCAATTAGATAACTGTTGTCTCAATTGTTTATTTGTCACGTAAATGACATTTCAAATAACGATTTTGAATAACAAATAACACTAATTATATTGTTGTAAATACTATTCCGATTCGAGAGACACATGTCCAGAAGTGGGGCGTTGTTGGGGTCGGTTCAGTATATGGATTTGTAAGTCGGATACCAATATGAGACAACATCACACACATGCTCTGGTCCCAACGTAAGTAGCTAAAGCACTTGCGACATGGAAATCGAAAACAACGATGGTACCACAAATACCGCGACCCGAGACAATATAGAAAAGTTAGTCTTTCGATTGATCCGGCCGGGGATCGAACCCGGGAACTCAAAGATGGTGACACCATGCAAACCAATGTGCAAACCACTCGACCAAGGAGGTCATCAAACATTCTTAGATGAACTCGTTTTTCACACGTAACATAGTAATGTACCGTCGCGCGTCGGTAAACTGCAGTAGTACCTACAATAATAACACCATATTGTATTACATAAAGTTACTGTACATCAGCTGATTTAATGATGCCATTACATGAATCAGAGCCTTATTTACTATTTCTATTGTGTATTATGTAAGTATTTTCACAATTTTTTTATGTTAACGTGGTAGCAATAAGGATCATTGAAAATTGTAGATACTTTATGATTGCCACAGCTTGTCTCTATATTAATGTCTGTTATATTTATAAGATAAAGTATTTAATAAAAACCTAACAAACCCAATTTATAGAGCTAATCGTCACACTTGGAGTGAAAACGGCATATATACAATTATACATATATTGTTTTTTTTCTCATTGTTGTTGAAGCCAATTTTATAAACCTCTTATTTAAATATATTATTAATGTAATATATCATCTGAAAGAAGGTAATAATTTGTCAGGATCGTAGCAGGTGGAGGTCCATGGCCTTTGGTGGGAGACAGGCGTGGCGGTATGCATCTTTATCTTTGTTCTGAAAAATTACATGCCAAGGTTGACCTCGGTGTACACATTGCACAGTTAATACAATAGCGTATTAACTAAAGTGTATTTTTTCAAAGACTGTTTTGTCCAGAACGAGTTTACTAAAAGTTTGTCTCATTTTGAGTTAAAGAGAACATTCTGACGTCGCGACGTTGTATTGACGTGTAGAGAATCAAATTTTACGTTGAGCAATAGTGTAATCTTGAATGTCACGTATTTTGAGTTACGAATGCATTGTAATAGCAGTGCGATATTTTAATTAAACTGTGGACGTTCTGCAAAAAAGTCAGGTCAAAGAAACAAAAATGAACTGCACGAAATAAGTAATAGGAGTGGATTAAGTGAAAGAAGGGTGTCAGATGGAGGAATAGTTTCTGCCTACGTGGTAGGATCAGCAGGTAAGACAGGATTTACAGCACCAGTGCTGTTTGTTGTAGTTACTAGCTGAGTACGTATCTTTGCTCACCAGAACCCCTAAAGAATGGCGGAGCAGAACTCGTCGCTGCTGGAGCCAGGCGTGAATATTCGGCCGGTGATCGACCAGGACGGTGTCAAGATGCTCGCTGAGCGGCTCTACGGCATCTGCGTGCTCGAGCTTAAGGTAGGCTAACAGTTGGATCTTGCAGTTAACTTTGGATTGAGAAAATTTACAGTTCTACGGTGGCTTCTTGTCGAAGAAGATTTCATGTGTCCCTAAATGCTCCTGTATGATATAAAAAATACGTATCATTTTTTCTGCGGAATTATACTAACAATCAGTCCTTAGATACTGCTGCAGTGCCTGGTAATTGATTAGCGACATTAACTGTATTTTTGAAACCACGTTACTGTCAAACAATTATAATTATGACATTTTCAAATTTGAACAATTATAATTATCATGCCCATCCGCAGGAGCTGAATGGCTATGATGACAAGAATTTCCACATCAAGGAAGATCCAAACGTGAAGAACCCGCTCATCATGACGCACTGCCCCAACGGATACGTGCTCAAGATCATGAACGCCATGGATTCTCAAAACCTTGCCGTCGTCGAGGCACAAAACGAAATTATGAATTTCTTGAGTGAGTGCTTCAATTATTAATTAATTTGTGCTTTAATAACATCACCATGCAAGCAATTGTGAACAAAACTGCACTTAGTGATGACAAAATGCTTGCCATTATAGTCTATTATTATAACAAATCCAAAGTGATGTTGACGAATCTGTTTCTCAACAAGCTAGTTAGTCTATATAAGAACCAACAAAAAAATTTTTTTTTGAGCAAACATTGGTTTATCAGCTACAATTTGTATTGTATTGTCAAGGTAACAATTAAAAAACCAAAGGCATTCCCTAATACTCAAATCAACCAATACCAGGCACCCGCTCCGTGACCTGTCCGAAGCCAATCCGTAACGTATTCGGACACATGTTCTCGACCGAGATTATCAACAATAAGCAGCACGTCGTGCGGCTGCTGGAGTACGTCCCTGGAGAGCTGATAAAGGACGCTCCGAAGACCGAGGCTCTTTTCTATCAGCTGGGAGAGTTTGTGGCTAACTTGGACGGCAAGTTGCAGGTCAGTGTAAAGCTGTTAGTTTAATTTCTAATTAAAATGGTAAGAAGACAATTTTTGATCTTTGTGTTTGAAAAGCACGTTATTATTTTATTTTAATAAATTTTAATCTACAGAGCAAAATTTCTTGAACTGTCTCATTCTTCTTAATAAATACGAGTAGGATGCTAAATATATGCTAATATAGGATACAAGTCAATTGTTGTTTGAGTTTGCAATTTGAATTTTACAGATAACAGATGAAAATAATCATGTGAACGGTGGCGGCGGCGCTTATATTTATTGCGTAATTCCCAATTACGTCAAATACAAATTTTTCTTACATGGTCTGTGTTGTGCACGATATCTTGTGTATGGGGAAAATTTAAAAAACCCACAAGTAAAAGTCACGGTTATCATTTTGGTCAGTAAAATTCGCCTGTTACCATAGAACAATGACTAGTATAAAGCAAGCGGTGTGAAATAGCCGCAGGCGCCCGACGGCACGTCCAGTGGATAGGTACAATGTGCCACGTTCAAGGTCCTTTTCTAGCATTGTTTTAATACCTGCTCTCGATGTTTCATGGTTATCACGATTTTTCAGGACGTAGATATATTTGTTAGAATACTTTTAATAGATCAGCCAGGTTGTTCTAGTCTTCCTCTTCATTTTAAAAACGGGCCAGTCAACTACCGTTGCTATTGAACTTAATAATATTGGATCTTCGATTTAAATTGCGTAAAACCTGCTTACCGTTCAGTCTACAAGTTATTCTACCCCTTTTATTAACGTATTATTTGATTTGAAACAGAACTTCAACCACTCGGGTTTGGTGTCCCGCGAACACATGTGGATGCTGACCAAAGTGCCTGAGCTCGACAAGTTCAAGTACGTCATCAAGGACCAGGACAAACTCGATCTCGCAGAAGAGGTAACGTTTTCGTTCGACTTAAGTATTTTTAACATCTTATTTATCTTTATTTTTGATGTATGACGCAAGACAACGAAAATATGTTGGGTTAGAACATGAGGAGAGTTTGGTTATCTGATTTCACTATAACAAATATTTCAGGTCGGTTCTTTACAACAACTGCACTGAAAAAAATTACGGTCAAATGTTTCCCACCACATCTTTTAAGCAGAGGCCGTGGGTTCGAAAATCTAGCACCCCTGTTAAATAACAGGGGTGCTAGATTTTCAAAAAATAATTTAAAATTTACTATATCACCGAAAATGAAAGAAAATATCCTGATGAAACCTACGCGTCGAAGTAGGTTCACAGTCGCATTGGGCGATCGTGGCGACTGTGGTCAAACCCCTCGCCTAAGAGGAGACCTGTGCCCAGTGGTGAGACGCAAAAATGGATTGATGATGTTTCTCACCACGAACAATTCTGTTTGTGCTATACGAAAGACAAGGAGCAAAATTCATGATGCGAATTTGCAGGTGATTGAGGAGTTCAAGTATGCGGTGGTGCCACGACTGGACGAGCTGGAGAAAGGGGTCATTCACGGAGACTTCAACGAAATGAACGTACTGGTCGCGAAGAAGCCGGGAGGCGGGTTGGTACATTGTTCACTATTCTTAGCAAAATGCGACTACTTGCACCCAAAATCTTATCCCAGATACCAGCTAGTTATGGACACATTTAGCGAATTTTGTAGCAGCCTTATCGTATATCGTATACATGCATACCTACACTGTAATGCTTGCTATAGCGGTGAAAGGCTTCGATTGCCGTTGCCCAGAGTAAGGTAGATGTACCAATGGTACGTCGTGTGGGGACGCTCGTTCCGTGAACCCAAACTTTTTAACTATGTCTGTCAGACAATACTTGAAATAAACGCGTTTGTTTACAATTGTGCACTATCGGTATTATAAAATATCTTAAATGATTGAACAACAATCTAATACAAATCTAAAACAGTTCTAATCTAGAAATTATATAGATGTAGTTTGTAATTATATTTTTTACGTGTGGGTGCTGTTCATCTCTACCTAAACCCCAAATTTGAGTATTTTTGGGTGGAATATTTTATCTATCTCAGGTACTATAAGGACAATAGATTTATTATAACTTTAAGTGAGTATATATATATATATATATATATTTATTTATTATTTTGTGATATCTTTTGGAGCTACTCGAGACGCGTCAGATAAATATTATGATTAAAATGTAGCGAGTTTCAAAAAGGTAGGGTCTGAAAAACAGCTTAAGCTGAGACTCTATCCTTTTTATCTACACAGTATCTATAAGTGATGTTATTTACGACTAAATTGTTTTGTAAATGTAGATAAATAAAGTTCTTTATTATTATTATTATTATTAAAAACGATTGCCAAGTGCTATAAATATCAGTGTGAATTTCTCCAACAGTCTGTCTGGCTTATTGCTTCTTATCATGAGGCAGTGTCGTTGTTTGTTTGTTCGTGCATGATGAATGACTGATAGGTTCGCTGATAAATGCCTATCTTGCATTTTATCTTGTTATAGGAATATTTTTATTATGCTCATACTTGCTGATAAATGTGTTTTGGATCATGTGTATTTCTTTTTTTTCCAAGACTTCTTATCGTATCGACAGCATACACCGTGATGCTTGCTATTGTGGGGTAAGGATTTACCAATCGGCGTAAGGTACTCGCCGATCGTTGCCCAGTGAGGGGAGGCACCTTTTTTTCGAAGAGTGAAACGAGATCAAATTTGTCTTGCATACAATCTGCCATATGGTTCCCCTTTCCTGCACGGACTATATCACCTGATTATACCATGTGATAGCCGACCAGAATAAAAATAAACTGGCTGTTCTTAATAGCTGTCTTCAGAAAGTCACAAATTCATTTAGAGGGCCCATGTACACGCTCTCATAATAAGATTACGGTTGATTCAAAATTTGCCATTCACGAGGTTTAAAACTGTAGTGAAACAAAAACTTTTTCTAAAAGTTATCATAGTACAGCGTCTGCGTACATGGATGACAAAATTCCATAGTAGTGACTATTTAGCTCTTATTAGGTTGTCTCGATCTATGTATTTGAAATATATTATTATATTGTAAATGATACACGTGTACAATTATTTATTTACAAGTAACAATCCCTAGAGTTTCTAATTCATTTTTCTCATAAGAATACGCCTTACGAATGAATAGTAAAGTTTAATCAATATGACGATTTCAAATTATACCAAAACCCAATTTTCTTTCTCCGTTTTAATAGTAACAGTGATTCTAGCAGCGGTCAATAGTGTATTGATACACATTTAACTTTTCCTTAGATCATCAGACTACCGCATCGCAGGCATAATCGATTTCGGGGACATCCAGTACTCGTACTACGTGTTCGAGGTGGCCATTGCGATGACGTACATGATGCTGCTGACCGGGGATCCTCGCACCGGCGGCTACGTCTTGGCAGGATACACGGTCACCAGGAGATTGCCCGATGATGAATACCGTCTGCTCAAGGTGATGAGACTATTCAGCTAGTGGTTTTGAGTCACTTTTAATTACTTGATCACTTTTACTCATATAGTCAGTTGCTTACGTATGTACTACAGTAATTTTTTTTTTTTTTCAGATTCTTGTCTCTGCCCGTCTAGTCCAAAGCCTGATCCTCGGAGCGTACGCTAAGGAGCAGGACCCCAACAACACTTACGTGATTTCAACGGAGAAAGCCAATGGGTGGGAACTCCTTCGTAAAATCAGAAAATCCAAACCCAATCCTGAAGTAACCGACCCTACTGACTGGAAGACCATTGCTAATGAATACTTGACAAGGAGTTAAATAACGGTTTATATACTCGCTAAGTACTAAGTGTTATTGATTGCACTTCACTATTTCACTTTTTGTAAATTTTGAAAGAAGTATTGGATTTAAAAATCATTCACTTTAAATTTCTGGCATTTTATAGAAACTATAAATAGGATAGATGATTATTTTGATGATACTATTATCAAATCATTATTCAACTTAAAATGCAACAATTTGTTTATACACTTTGTATGTATATGTCTTTGGTCGCAACTTATACAATTCACATAGCGTATATTTTTTTTTATTTAAGGATTTGTAGTTAATATTTATTGGAAGTATTATTATGAACTTTAGTGTATTCAATAAAGACTGTTCATAATGTTTATTTTTTAATATGATATTCTGCAGCGACCACTGTGTCATCCCTTTAGTCGTCTCCTGGGTGGGTATGGATTTTCCGTAGTTACTTTTTCATTCTCGGTCGACGTAGATGTGTTAGCCTACATTTTTACCCACACTCGACTGTTTATCAAATTTTAATAGATAAAAGACTCACTATTGTGTCTGTAGTAATTATATGTTTCATATAAATTATTACTTTATCCCATTTTCATCATATTTACAGAAATAAATTACATAAATTCTTCGTGATTGGAAACGCCATAGACAAAACTGCAAATAGTATTCCATTAATGTGAATATTTTCTGGAAGACTGATCGTACCAAAAATTATCCACGAAAGTCGTAATAAAATATAAATAAAAATTTCGGAACTTTTAGATCGTTTACGTTAAGGCCGTAAAATTGTTCTAAGTAGAGTTAATCCAGGAAAAATAGTTTTTCATGAGTAAGTACGTCCAAAAAAAATCACAAATGTCGCTGCACATTTTAAGATAAAAAAATTAGGACAACTGGTTATCATAACGTCAGTTCAGATTAAGATTATTATTACAGTATCTGTAAAAAAGTTAATTGACCCAGTTCGCTTACCTAAGTAGGTACGTCTTAAACTAATGTTTAAACTAATAAGACACTCTTAACTCCATGCAGCAATAATATAATTTGCTTTGCAAACATATTGGCTTATGACACCGTCTTTCGACTTATCCGAAGAACAGAGTCCGATGTGATTATGTTGCGAAAAGAGAATAAGTACGTTACGAGAATAATTTCGTTGTTCAAACTAAGGCCTATGTAAAGGCGTTTTGATAATTTATATATCTTATTTCGTTTTGAAAATATAAATTTGGACTATGAAATGATGAAAGATGAAATGTACTATGTCTTGAGAACAAGAAGTCTTGCACATAGGTCTTTGTTCTACGGATGAGTCGTTATGTACGGTGCAAGTGACCATTAGTGTATTTTTCCATAGACTTACTTTACTGACCGACAATTTTAAAGAAATTAAATTATTTTATGTTCCTTGTTTTCCAAGTAATTAGAATATTATGTACAACCATACTCACGTTTAGTAATATGTAAATAATAGGCTTAAATCACATTACGCGCCCTCTATTGGCACATTATCAAACCGCGATGTTCACTATTGACACAATGTTTAATTGCTTCTGACAAGAGCACATAGATGGCGCTAGCTGTAAAAATTACATCATTTCAACGCAAAATAATTAAAGTCCAAGGATCAATTATTAGGCTGTCTTGTAATATGTCGGTTAAAAAAAACAAAACTACCAAAATGAGAGCGGCATTTGCATTTGCGATTTGACCTGTCAAGAGTCACGTTGTTTAAATAGTGTTCAAATTTGCAACAAAAAGGCGACTGTGTGCCTACAGATTAACTATAGATAGACTTACAAGAATTGGAGAGGATGTGGGTTATATTTTTCTGTATCTAATGGAGCAATAAATATTTTTGACGTAACTCCACTTATGCAATTCTGCCATGAGGGGTGCGATATGTGGCTGAGTGGACATAATTATGGTTTTTGGCTTTTCGTGTAGTTTTAATTCGTTCCAGTTTTTTAAATTAGCATCTGTCCTACAAACTAGAATCAATACAAAAAATCTAGAGCCAAGCTCTCAGTTCAGCCTACGTCTCGAATAAGGCTTAATGCGCCTCGCGCAGAACTATCGGGGATCTTTATTGGCATAAAAACTTGATAACATTTTACTGTTTGTCTAATGTTGTTTATTACAGTTGATTTAAGATTATTTGCTTACCCTTGGGAGTCATGACTTGTCAGTCAGACAACGTATACACAGTCCACTGGTGGGCAGGGATGTTTAAAGCAGGGAGTAACCATTTATAGTTTCACGCACTCTAAGAAGTTTGTCCTGCTGTTGTAAACATTAAATATTATAGAATTTTCTTTTGTTTCATTAAAAGCAGCACAAAATAAATATATAATTATGTGAAACTTTTGAAAGTATCAAGTCATGTGATATTTTTTGATACTCGGAGCCTCCAAGTAAGCCGTATAGATGGTAGATAATAGAAAAAAAAAGTAAATGAAACCATTTTTTTAAATCTAAATCTCGATTATTTATTTTTTTAAACAAACCAACGTTTAGCTTGTATGTATGAACAGCAAAAGCTAAGCACTCGAAAAAACTAATCATTTAAAAACCAAAGACCGCACGTGACGCGCGTTCCGAACATACCTCGTAAAGGTTTATATCTGCCCCTGATGGATGAGACTCCATACACGGCAGCGTGTACATTGCACCAAAGAAATTAAAATAAATCCCTAAATGTCGCATCTCGTTCTCGGAAATATCTTCATTCACAGTCTTATAATGTCTTCGTAATTGGTATTTTGGTGTAAGTGATTCCAGAAAATAATTTTTAAACATTTTTATTACAGTCAATTCGGGTAACTTTGAATCGTGGTGTAACTTTGAACGTAGTTGCGTAAAAGATTTAAAAATTTATTTTATGTATGGCGATCTTTTATTTTTAGTATTGAAACTGTGTAAATCGGAACAAAATTGTTAAACTAAAGTTATGAAAGAAAAAAGTAATGTTAAATTGTATTGTTTTAAACTTTCGCGGTTTTTTCTTGGCGAAAGTAGTTTGGTGTGATTTGTTGCTCAGTTTTAGAATCGGAATTAAATATATAAATGTGAATATTGGTAAGTTTTGGTTTCCACACTTAAGTAGAGGTTTATATATCGTTTTTTTAAAGAATAATTTAATTTGGTTTTGTATTTACGCGTAAAATGAATTAGATTTTGACGACATTACCAAACAGAGAAATTTGGGTAACTTTGAATGTGTTTGACTGTGTTTTTAGAGAAGATGGTAGTCTGTTTCCAGGGAGAGTTCTAAAAGTTACTCCTTTGGAAATTACTGTCTCAGTGCTCCAAAAATGCTTTTTAGGTGGTGGGTCTTGGCCCTCTGACGTTGAGACATGTCAAGTTAATAAAGCCGATATTGTGAATATTATAAAAGAGCAACAGCTATCTAGAAAAGGCGGCCGTATTTATATTAATAATAATAATAATAACGCACACACTCAACATAGCCCCGCACTAGGGAAACCCTGTGTCGCGGGTGCCATGGACACACACATAGACAACCACAAATTACACCCAAACTCACGAGAGAAATAAATGTAGGCCATACAAATATTTCTCCCGGCCCGGGAATCGAACCCGGGGACCTCTGCGTGGCAGTCCGGTATGGTAACCGTTCGGCCACGGAGGCAGTTAAAAAAAAAGTTATTGATGACGACATTTTATTCAAGGAGTGGGGTGAATAGATTTTTGTTATGTATTTACTTTGCCTAAAATAATTGTTATAGGTGATTCATTTTGATCTCGTTTGATAGCTAAATAAGCGTAGAATTTATTATTAAACAGAAAATTTTCATTTTATATTCGCATTAATTAAAAAATCTAAAAAAAAACAAGTTTTTCATTTCAACTAAATTAGTTCGTCTCGTTTTATTATGGCAATACCAAGTCAAATGTCGTTTTTGAACGCACTGTCAGGAATATTTGGACAGATTCACATCTAAAAAATATGAACATGTCGTATAATCTTACACAAACTGTAAAATATCTAGAAAATATACGGTTTCCATATCGAAGGCTAATATTCAAAGTTACCCAAAATTCAAGGCAACTTTGAATGTGAGTTTTGGAGCAAATCTAGAACAGTTTTGTTGAATAATTACTAAATTCCTTCTATAAGAACGAAAAAAGGGTTTAAAAGAACACTATTCAGTTAATAAAGTAATTGTTAAGAAACATAATTAAATTTGAAATTATTAGAAAAACGCAAAAAACGTTCAAAGTTACCCGAATTGATTGTATTTGCTGGTATTATTGAAATAAACAGAAGTATTTCCAAAGAATATTTTTATTAAATTTTCACACGTTTATTTGGGTAGACAAAGGTTCTGCCATACAGCCTCTTCATATGTGTATATTGAGCAAAGATTCAACGACAGACAGCTTTTTTTTGTCGGATTTAAATTCAAAATATATTTATTTCTTATGTAGGTAAGTAATGGCGACTACTTAAAAAACTATCTAGAACCTTTTCAAACTTTTACCTCTGTGTATGTATAGGTACGTTGAAGGAATGTAAACCCGAATAATTCAGAAACCATTCGAAATGTTCGACAACGTATGTATCTGTAACATACAACTGCACCCAATGGACGGTAAATATTTCTTAAAACATTATTGAATAACTTGCAATTAAGCCACCGACTTGCCGAGCATTGGAAACACACGGTAGGTTATTTTGTAGTTAACATAAATACGTATTTTTATTTTCTGTGGCCTTATAGCCATTCGCGTACATTGTCTGACATGGATCAACATTTTTTCTTTGCAATGATACGAAGAGTGGTATCTACTAATATATATGTGTATATATATATAATAATTAAAATAAATATATTTAAAAGTCACCAATTGTTTTATTCTTTTCCTGAATACTTGGATGGAGATTAGATATATCGCTCCCTTGCTGTAACAGGAGCACATTTGCAAAATGACTTTTGAGGACAAACTAACAAAATACAAAATAATTTGTCTAATCATTATCATCGTCATCGTCGACCCATTTATACGGGCCACTGCTGGACGAGGGTTTGGGCCATACTCCGCAACTCTGGCCCAATTTCTTCTTACATTCCTACTCCATCTTATTTTTATTAGAGTTCGTATGTTTTACAAATAAGTAATCTCACAAGAAAGCGAAAGAGCCCCAAAAGAGAAGGCCACCGACAAACTCGGACAACTTTAAACTTAAACGTTCAGAATTCTATACAAAATCGAAAACGTCTGCAAGATTATGATGGATGAACAGACAAGATGGGATAAGT